AGTATTTGAGCTTCAGTTTCATTATCTGGCCTTCCAGGGAACAGTCAGGGTTGATTTCTTTTAGCATTGACTGATTTGATCTTCTTGTAGTCCAAGGGACTCTCAAGAGTCTTCTCCAGCACCATAGTTCAAAAGAATCTGTTCTTCGGCGCTCGGCCTTCCTTATAGTCCAACTCTCGCAGCCATACATGACTACTGGGAATACCATTGCTTTGACCATGTGGACTTTTGTTGGCAGGGAGATGTCTCTACTTTTTATCATGCTGTTTAGGTTCACCATCGCTTTCCTCCCAAGGAGCAGGCGTCTTTTAATTTCATGGCTGCTGTCACAGTCTGCGGTGATCTGGGATCCCAGGAACGTGAAGTCTGTCACTACTTCCACAGCTTCCCCTTCTATTTGCCAAGGAGTGATGGGGCCGGATGCCATGATCTTAGTTTTTTTGATGTTGAGCTTCAAGCCCACTTTTGCGCTCTCCTCTTTTACCCTGAGCAAGAGGCTCTTGAGGTCCTCTTCACTTTCTGCCATCAGAGTGGTATCGTCTGCATATCTGAGGTTGTTGATCTTTTCCCCAGCAATCTTAATTCCCGCTTGTGATTCATCCAGGCCAGCATTTCGCATGATGTACTCTGCATATATATTAAATAAGCAAGGTGACAGTATACATCCTTGTCGTACTCCTTTTCCTATGCTGAACCAATCAGTTGTTCCGTATCCGGTTCTAACTGTCGCTTCTTGGCCCTTATACAGGTTTCTCAAGAGACATGTGAGGTGGTCTGGTACTCCCATCTCTTTAAGGACCTGCCATAGTTTGTTGTGATCCACACAGTCAAAGGCTTTAGCATAGTCAATGAAGCAGAAGTAGATGTTTTTCTGGTACTCTCTTGCTTTCTCCATAATCCAGCGAATGTTGGCAATTTGATCTCTAGTTCCTCTACCTCTTCGAAACCCAGCTTGTACTTCTGGCAGTTCTCTATCCACGTACTGTTGAAGCCTAGCTTGTAGGATCTTGAGCATGACCTTGCTAGCGTGTGATATGAGTGCAATTGTGCGATAGTTTGAACATTCCTTGGCATTGCCCTTCTTTGGGATTGGAATGTATACTGATCTTTTCCAATCCTGTGGCCACTGTTGCGTTTTCCAAATTTGCTGGCAAATGGAGTGCAGAACTTTAACAGCATCATCTTCTAAGACTTTGAATAGCTCAGCTGGAATACCATCACCTCCACTAGCTTTGTTGTTAGTAATGCTTTCTAAGGCCCATTTAACTTCACATTCCAGGATGTCTGGCTCGAGGTCAGTGATTATACCGTCGTGGTTGTCAAGGACATCGAGGTCTTTCTTGTATAGTTCTTCTGTGTATTCTTGCCATCTTTTCCTAATCTCTTCTGCTTCTGTTAGGTCCCTACCGTTTTTGTCCTTTATCATGGCCAGCTTTGCATGGAACGCTCCCTTGATTTCTCCAATTTTCTTGAAGAGATCTCTAGTCCTTCCCATTCTATTGTTTTCTTCTATTACTTTGCACTGTTCATTCAGGAAGGCCTCCTTATCTCTCCTTGCTGTTCTCTGGAAATCTGCGTTCAGTTGGGTAAATCTTTCCTTTTCGCCTTTGCCTTTCGCTTTCCTTCTTTCCTCTGCTATTTGTAAAGCCTCATCAGAAAGCCACTTTGCTTTCTTACATTTCTTTTTCTTTGGGATGGTGGTGATTGCTGCCTCCTGTACGATGTCACGAACCTCTGTCCATAGTTCTTCAGGCACTCTATCTATCAAATCCAGACCCTTGAATCTATTCTTCACCTCTACTGTATATTCATCAGGGATGCGATCTAGGTCAAACCTGAATGGCCTCGTGGTTTTCCCAATTTTCTTCAGTTTAAGTCTGAATTTTGCAATGAGTAGCTCATGATCTGAACCACAGTCAGCTCCAGGTCTTGTTTTTACTGACTGGATAGAGCTTCTCCATCTTTGACTGCAAATTATATAGTCAATCTGATTTCGGTGTTGCCCATCTGGTGATGTCCATGTGTAGAGTCGCCTCTTAGGTTGTTGGAAAAGGGTGTTCGCTATGACCAGTGTGTTCTCTTGACAAAACTCTGTTAACCTTTGCCCTGCTTCATTTTGCTTTCCAAGGCCAAACTTGTCTGTTATTCCAGTTACCTTTTGACTTCCTACTTTAGCATTCCAGTCCCCTATGATGATGAGGACATCATTTTTTGGTGTTAGTTCTAGGAGGTGTTGTAGGTCTTCATAGAACCGGTCCACTTCAGCCTCTTCTGCATCAGTGGTTGGGGCATAGACTTGGATTACTGTGATGTTGAATGGTTTGCCTTGGAATCGGACAGAAATCATTCTGTCATTTTTGAGATTGTATCCCAGTACTGCCTTTTGCACTCTCTTGTTGACTATAAAGGCCACACCATTTTTTCTACGAGATTCCTGGCCACAGTAGTAGATATAATGGTCTTCTGAGTTAAATTCGCCCATTCCTGTCCACTTTAGTTCACTGATTCCTAGGATATCGATGTTCAGTCTTGCCATCTCATTTTTGACCACGTCAAGCTTACCTTGATTCATAGATCTTACATTCCAGGTTCCTATGCAGTATTGTTCTTTGCAACATCGGACTTTCCTTTCACCATCAGACACATCCACAACTGAGCGTCCTTTCGGCTTTGGCCCAGCTGCTTCACTCACTAAGTCCTTATTGATAAAGAAGGCCATAAACTACATGGGGTAAGGAGAAAAATCTACACCTCCTGTGTCCTTGACCTCAAAATAGCCAGTTATCAGTGTATCATGGCCCGCTATCAGTTCTTCCTATGGGATTGCACCTCACCTAGAGAGGTTACTTGATGACAAGTGCAAAGTGACAAAACTCCTGGCCTTCAAAATGAAGGACAAGCTTACTACTGAAACCTTAGACATGATCCCTTCTATGCCTTCCGCTCCTAGACTTAGGCCCTACTACAAACATACTACTCTGTATTTTGAGAAAGAGGTCATCTGATGCTTCACACTTCATATTCCAACACACCTGCCATTCAACCCCCATCCAACAGAGGAAAAGGTTCCCTGCTGCAAGGGGTAAAGCCAGATATCAGTTGCCCAAGCCCTACAACCTGCAAGGCAGGGATTTTGACAACTACAGCCCACACTCAGCACATCACCATCCAACCCTCCTAACTCTTCTCCAGAACTCATTGCGAGGTCAACCCCATCCTCAAGAAAGCAATTGTGACAGTGCCAGCAATTCAACCCTCCTATCTCTTCTCCAGAACTTGGTGCGAGGTCAACCCCATCCTCAGCAAGAAAGCAATTGTGACAGTGCCAGCAAAAGATTAGCAGTCAGGGTTCTACACTGGATACTTTCTGGTCAAAAAGAATGGGGCAGGTGAGACTTATTCTAGACCTGAGAGGGAGGCATCCATTCCAGATGTCTTTCCTGTGTTATGTCTATGCTACATCTGCTAGATGTGTATTTCCATGTAAAGATAAGACTGGACCATCAGAAATATTTCTACTTACAATGTGGTTCCCACCATTTCCAATACATGGCCCTTCTTTTTGGGCTACCTGTGGCACACATGTTGTTCACCAAGGTAGTGGCAGTGGATGTTGCCTACTTGCAAAGGCTGGGGTGTGAGATGTACCCTTACCTTGATGACAGGCTGATTGTATCTCGTACGAAGCTAAAGCTCCAAGCAGACTTGTGCCTCGTACTCAGGGTACTTGAGGTGTTGCACCTGCAGGTCAGTTCAAAGAAATCCAAATTGGAACCAGTGCATACAGTATCATTCATAGGAGCCATGTTAGATTCCACTGTAGCCAGAGCTTTCCCAATGCCAACAGTACTCTGGGGAGTAAAAAAAAAAAAGGAAGTTCTTTGGTGGCATTATGGAATGGCAGCCAATCAGAGACATGCACAGCCAGCTTCAAATCCTTTGAGATTATCAACAAACGTATAGACAGAAATTATCTAGTAGTTCGGTTTTTTTAAATTCTTTGACTACGGCTTTTGCTGAATCCTTCATCAAAGGCTCCTGAGTAGTTTTAACAACCTTTTAAATCCTTTGAGATTATCAACAAATGTATAGACAGAAATTATACAGTAGTTCGTTTTTTTTTAAATTCTTTGACTACAGCTTTTGCTGAATCCTTCATGAAAGGCTCCTGAGTAGTTTTAACAACCTTGGCGTAAAGACAGAGACTCAGTGTTGTACAAGGGCTGGCGTGTTGGACTAGGGTCTGGCAGACTCAGGTTTGAGTCCCTTCTCTGCTCTGGAACCTTACTGGGAGACCTTGAGCCAGTCACACACTCTGAGTCTAAATTACCTCACAGGGTTGTTGTGAGGTTAAAATGGAAGACAGGAGAACAATTTAAGCTGCTTTGGTTTCCACTGGGGAGAAAGGCAGGGTATAAATAAAGTAAGTGAAATAAATAAAAGGACACTCAATTAGGGACTGGTGATAGAGAGTAAGAATAAGCAATTTTTGCAATGGACAGAAGCAAGAAGTACCATCTCCAAAGATCACTACTAATACTTGGAGCCATTCGGTTTTTCAGAAATGGCCCTGTGGGGTGGTGGGAGGAGAGCTCTAGAAGAAACCCAAGTTTGTGAACAACACCAGGCTATTTACAGTGCTGAAAACTGTTGCAGATTGCGGACCTCTGAAAAGGCCTGTGCAACAGAATGGTAAATGAGATTCAATATGACTGTAGAATGATGTAGACAGAGCCCCTCCCCAAAGCCAGACCAGTTTACACTGAGAGAATCTGAACAGGCTGTGAATAACTAGGAAGGAAATCTTGGGGTTGTAGTGGCTCAAGGGCTGAGTTTCTTGGCTTCAGTAAACCACCAATGGAAGGTGTTAGTGGTCATGGATTGTTCCCATGTTTTATCCCTGCTTCGGACATCTCATGTCCTAAAGACTCAGCCTCTGCAGTCTTGCAGTCTACAAGTAATGGCAAGATGCATTTGTTTTCAAAATGTTTTTTCCCTAGCTCTGTCAAAAATGCACTGGACACCAGAACATGCTCAGCCTCTGAATCAGTGGCCGGAGCAGCACCTTGATGTCTCCTCCACCACCTCCTCACCTGCCCACAAGTCTGACCTCTACCACAGCAGCCGGCAGCGCTTCAACTATGCCTGGGCCAATGATGACATCTCTGCTCTGACTGCTTCCAACCTCCTGAAGAGGTATGCTGAGAAGTACTCTGGAGTACTGGACTCTCCCTACGACAGGCCATCGGTGCTCAACACCTATGGGGATGGCGCTTTTGGGCCACTCAATGGTCAGAAGGGTGAGATGGAGCCTTGGCCAATGGCACACACCTCAGAAGGGGCCTATCCTCTGAATCCAATGCACGATGGATTATCCGGCTCCAAAGGGATTGTTCCTCCTGCTGTTACTCCGGGTAATGGTCTTGGCACCTCTCCTGTAGTTGCTAGCAATCTCTCTGATTCAATTTACCCCAGTAACTCTTGTGGGGGACCCGCCGCTTCTGGAACTCTCGGGGCATCTCAGGAGTATCCCTCGGGCTACGGTGGGGCCTACCTGCCATCAGGCTACTGCAGCCAGACTGCTTCTGCGCTTCCACCTCCTCACCCATCTACCCTGCATAGCTCAGGCCTCCTACAACCTAGCCATCCTTCCACAACTCTTGTTCCCAGCTACAGCTCCTCAGGACCTATGTACAACTATGCCTCAGGCAGCTACCCGCCCCAGCCTAGCTATGGCACCATCCATCCTCCCCATCCATCAGCCTCATATTTACCCTCAGGTATTGCTGCCCCTACCCCCATTCCCCCATCCTCTCGACCCCCTGTGGTCCCTGGATACAGCTACCAGAGCCCCCTCGCAGTGCCTCCACTCAGTGGTGAGTCAGGGAGCTCTCTGAAAAGGAAGGCCTTTGATATCGCTGGTAGTGAGGATGATAGTGAAGGCAGGTATCGAAAATACAGCTATGAGCAACCAAAGTCCCCATATCAGATGTCCGACAGTGGTGAATGTAGAGGGAATGGATTCAACCGAAGCTCTGAGGTGCCTTTCAAAGGGGGCAAAAGGCCAGCAGGATCAGGAGTAGCCGTGACAACAGTGGCTTCAGAGGAGCCTGTTGGGAAATACAGCAGCCAGCCCATGAAAGGACTGGTTTCTCCAGCTTACAATGTTGGAGAGGCCCCACTGAGACCTAGTGAGAGTTTTGAGAAGTTCACTCCTCCAGCTGCCAATGGTGAGCATGGAGGAGATTCCTTTTCTCTCAGGATGCAACCCAAACCACCAACATTTAGCAGTGACAACAGTGACCAGACAGTAGAAGAGCAGCCAAAAGCAATGGACCCTTTCGTTTTGGAGTTGGTGAATAACAAAATAATTGACTGTGGCCCACCAGTACAGTGGACAGACATCGCTGGGCAAGTCTCTGTCAAAGCTGTCATAGAGGAAGAGCTAGTATGGCCCATCCTGAGGCCAGGGGCTTACACTGGGGTAAGCCGCCCACCCAAAACCATCTTGCTATTTGGGCCCCGTGGTGTAGGGAAGACCCTGCTGAGCAGGTGTATTTCTACACAGCTGGGATCTACCCTGCTGAAGCTCAGTGGGACAGGTTTGATCTCCAAGTGGAAGGCCGAAGCCGAGAAGATCCTGCAGGCAACTTTCTTTGTGTCCAATTGTCGTCAGCCTTCCGTCATTCTCCTCACAGATGTGGAATCCCTGCTGGAAGACTCTGCCATCTTGAAGTCCCAACTCCTCTCCTACCTGGATAACCTTGCTACCTCAGGCGAGCAGAACGTGGTTGTCATAGCAACAACCACCAGGCCTGGCAACCTTGATGATGCCACCCAGAGGAGGTTTGCTAAGCGTTTCTACATTTCCCCACCAGATAGCGTTGCCAGGCGGCAGATTCTGCACCATGCTCTGGCCCAGCAAAACTACTGTCTCAGTGAGAGGGAGATGGCCTCCATTGTACAACTCACTGAGAGCTATTCGGGCAACGAGCTCCTTCAGCTTTGTCAGCAGGCTGGGGCAAACAAGCTGCACAGCCTGCCCGGCCAGCTTCAGCCCACTTCCTACAAGGATTTTGAAAGCATTTTCTGCAAGATCCACCCTGCTGTCTCTCAGAAGGAGCTGGACTTGTATATGGAATGGGATAAAATGTATGGTTCTCGACATTAGTGGTCGTTGCTTGTTGTATCACCTGGACTCTCTTGAGTGAAAGCCGTTGGGAGCTTTGAGGTTTTAAAAAATTTCCTTTAGCTATTGAAGCTTTGTGGCGCTGAGTGCTACAGTTTCCAAGAGATGGTGTGCCACCTGCCAATGAGAAACGGAGATGGGTGAGGATGCATTCTCATCTTTAGGAAAGTCACACTTTTTGAATGCAAGACCTTCCCTATATTGATTAACACACATTTTTGTTTGTTTTCTAAAAATGTCTGAGAGTTTGACTGTGTGGTGGTTGTTGGGTCTCTTATGTTAATGGAAAGTAGTTGCGCAATAAACTCAGGATAACCTATTTATTATTAATCTGTTTTCCCAGTCAGCCCTTTCCGTACCAGCATTGTAAATTGTTCAGCCAGGTATTGTCCCCCTTCCCTATTCCTTTTTAATACTGTACCTCTTGAATATTTCTCTTTGCTTCTTAACTTCCTTTGGTATGGCACAATGGGTCATTCAGTGCACCATACCATAATAGACTCATTCCTAGCGGGAATTAAACGCTAGGTGCTCTTTAAAGCCATCAAGAGCAGTGTTATTAAAAGAAATGGCATCAATGGGTTTTGAGGGAAGGGGTTTTGGAATTTTTGTTTTTAAAAATGTAGACTGTTTAATGTACTAGGCCTTTTTTTTGTAATGTATGTAGTGATTTCCCCCCCTTTTTTTAACTACTCAGGAAAAATAATTTACCTCAGAACAAAAAAAGAATGTTTTTGTTTAAAGAAAAAAACTCAAGGAAAATTAAAATGATCTGGAAGGATTACAAATGTACTTTAATGCACATTTGAGTCCCATATTAAAGGAAAACAAGAGTAAACTTGAAGTTGTTACAAAGATGAAAGTTGAATGTATTTCAGGGGCTTTTCACAATATGTTATGCCATAACTTTTATTTGTTTTTTAAAGAAAACATTTTACCATAGCATTTTGGTGGAGTAACGTGTCTTCAAATGGTAAGAAGTATTAGTGTTGTAGTTTATAAAGCCATGGCTAGTACCACTTTTTGAAGGAACCTTTCTATTCCATTTCCAAATCCTGAGCATTTTCCTTTGTTATGTTCTATAACAGGAGCTTTCCAATCTGGTCCTAATAAGCCAAGAAAAATACATGTTTAAGCTTCCCAAAGTATAATTTGAGACAAAATGAGTACTTATATTCCTGATTGCAGTGATGTTTTTAAAGGGTGTGAAAGAGGTTGTGAAACTGTACTGAAGACTTCTCTTCTCTAAAAGGTGACACCCCTGTATAAAAATACAGGGCATCCTTCTAGTACTCTGCGGATGAAGATCATATCTTGTGTATCTGGAATAGCCCCCTTCTCACATTAAGGATCTCTTGGCTGGCCCTGTGCTATTATACTCTGTAAAGGCTCTTGTCTGCTGTTGTTCACATGTCAATTTGCTGTACAATAGTCTGGACCCTTTGCTGTGTTGGAGTCTGTTAAAACCTGTTGTCCCTTGTGCATGCCAAGGTGGAACCCACCACTTTTGCAAGTAGAATACGGATATTTCCTTAAGGGAGGCTTCATTTGTCTTTAACCTTTCTCACTGTGGTTCATTTTTGAACTCCCGCGCATTGTTCATTAAAATGCAAATAGCCATTTTAGCCAGTGTACATTATGGCATTCAAATTAACAAATGGATTCAAGTAAGGCCAGTATAAACATTGAAAATACTCATAAAAAGAGTTATACCCTTCTAAGTCCATTGGGCACAGAAGAGTAAAACTCTGCTTAGGGCTGCACTGATAGGCTCTATGAAGGACTAAAGTTCTCCTGGACCTGCTTCTGGGATGGTGCTGGAAGTCTTTTTTTTTTTTTAATGTTCTGTCAGAGCTGCATTTCTCTGTGACTGGTATTTTTGAGCCTGGATTCTAGTACCTGTAGCCAGCTGCAGATTTCTCTGACTCAGAAACAGTGAGATTCTTTTTTTAACCCCTCTGTGTAGATTAGTTCTGTTACAGAAAATTATTACTATATAGATAGAACTTTTAAATAGACTTTTAGTTGGGGAAGAGGAGTGAAATAAATGCCATCTTTGGATGCTATTCCCTGTTCTAAGAGTTCTGATAGACATGTCAGTGGGACTGGAGTGAAAAATTCACTGATGAAGATCAGACCCTCCTCTTCGTTCAGTAGGTAGAATGTGGCTGCTTCTGCGTGATGGTCATTCCCTGTTGTGCCACAGCCATGGAGCATCCACAGGGGGTTATTCTCTGTGTCTTCTTTGACACAGAGAGCCAGCGTGGTGTCGTGGTTAAGAGCGGCAGAGTCTAATCTGGAGAACTGGGTTTGATTTTCCCACTCCTTCATATGAAGCCTGCCGTGGGTGACCTTGGGCCAGTCAAAGTTCTTTCAGATCTCTCTCAACTCCACCTACCTCGCAGGGTGTCTGTTGTGGGGAGAGGAAGAGGAGATTGTAAGCTGCTCCAAGACGCCTTCGGGTAGTGAAGAGCGGGGTATACAACCAACTTTTCTTCTTCTTTGGTATCCTTTCATGCCTGTAATTTCCTTGCATCACTAGAGGACTTTTTGTTGCCTTTCTAAAAATTATGGCAAGGGGAGAAATAGTGGCTGTGAGGGGTTACCAAGGGAAAATGGTGTCAGTGTGGATGGGGAGGTTCAAGAATCTACCTCTTCCTTTCCACACAGTGGGCAAACCCGTTTTGATTATGATCTTTAAAAAAAAATCAGAACAAACAGGGTTTGGGGAGCACTATTGCAAACCAGGAGAAACCAGGGTGACATTGTGTCCAAAAGAACTCACTCCAGTTTGATAGCCAGGGTAGAGCAAAACACCAGTGTGGAAACAACCTGTGTGTTAATGGAACTCAGACCATGCAGGTACTTTCAGCTGATGCTTGGAGTTACTTGCATGTTCTAGATGCAAGGCAATTCATACTTCAAGTTTTGTAGATAAAGGAAATCACAGTCTAAATTTCACTCCCTAAGGCTGCATTGTCTTGAGCCAGTAGCTTGAGCTGGAAGTGTACTAGCATTGTTTTAAGGATGGTGTTGGCAACAGCACCTGTGATGTTGAAAAGCTTTTCATGTTTCCGTTTAGGAACAGTCTCACTTGGGTATGTTTTGAGCATGGAAGAAAATCTGTCAGTCTCTCAGATATGCTGGTGAGAGATTGGATTGATACCTTTGATTGCCATATCCATAATTTTCAGCTAATGTATGGAACATGTTTGTGGTGATGTTAATTTTTCACTTCAGAAAAAGAGAAGGGGAAATACCTTATTTAGCAAAGGAGGCCAACTGGCTGTTGGCACCTCCTTTTTTGCATCTGCAAAAAAGCCTACATTTAAATATTTCCTGGGGTTTCTCCAGTTCCCTAGCACATGCTTCAGCATTACAGTTTCATCACAGCTGTGAATCCAGTGGAATCCAGATCTTGCATACTGAAGCTTTTGCAATTATATGACATTTAATGGAATAAAGGGACACCTTTGATTGGGGATAAAACCTGCATCCTGCCCTGAATGACACGAGCCCCTGAGAATCAAGCCTGGTCCCACTGAGGTACCCAGTCCTCAGTTCTCATTTATGTTTGCAGATGACACCACAGTTCTTCCCCCAGTAGCTTTAACAATTATTGAAAATGCTTTTAGACCGTGGTTGTATAAGAGCCATGAGCACCTATTGATAACAAGTTACATAACACTGCATGCAGTTCCTGTGCCACTGAACAAACTTTTAAATTTGTTTTTAAAATGGGCTGTGCTGTTATAGAATGGAATGTTTTTACTCAATAGTAAATAGTAAACAATGTTGACTTGGGAACCTGTATGACTTGCTTGGGAGCCATGCAAGAAAATTCTGCTTGACAGGCCATTGTTGGTTGCTTCTAATGTCTCCTTGGACAGTCATAACTCTTCCTGTCCTGCATTTGCCTGAGTTGTGCTGGATTATTCTGTGGTGGTAAATGGCCTCCCTGGACACAGCTTCTGGAAATTCTTAAAAGTTCACAAAGCACATCCATGTGCTGCATGAAGTAGCTGTTCTCCATGGCTGCTGAGAACGTTGTGGTTCACTTAAGAATTGTGCACAAAGATCAGTGGGTCCAAGGCTTGAGAGAATTCTTTTTCTAAATGGAAAGATTTCAATCTGCTTTCATTTAGGTATCTGAGAAGCCATAGCACTTAACACCAGATAGAGAGATGAGCTGGGAAACTTTGTGAGACACACATTGCTAAGCCCTTTGCATATTTGAATGCTACATTATTTTAGCAGAAAAGGTAGTCACATGTATTCCTCTTTGCAGGTTAGTCACTGTCAAACCACATCCAGCAGAGAAATTCCATGCAGAGTTACTCCAATCGAAACCCATTGTTTCAAATGAAGTAACTCCACGTGGGGTTGCCTTGTAAGTCTCTTTACAGTCTAACCAAGAGCTGATTCACAAGGTTGTGTATATTTCCTTCTTTGGCACTTTGCAGACTGATGAATTGCAGATAGTGTGAACTGTCACCAGGGAAACCTCTTATTTGAAGGGGGATAGTGTGAACTATCACCAGGGAAACCTCTTATTTGAAGGGGACGGGGCAGATTTGGGAATATGCCATGTTTAGTCAATAATGGCTCTTTCACATGAGCACAGCACTTGATACTGTTGATCATTTCACACATTATACGGGGCAGACCGAGGAAACACTTAACAGGGACCTGAGATACTGGTCTGAATCTTTTTCCTGTGCTAGTAGAAAAGCAGTGAGGGGAGGGATTAGGTTTGACCAAACAAGTGGCAGAAAGGGAAAGGGTTAAGCAGTCCCTCCCAAAAAGCATACTCCAATGTGTTCCTAATTTTCCATTGCTGCTTTTCCTTAAAAAAAATAAAAAAGTAAGGGAAAAGAGTATTGCAGAGATGCTTTTATGAGTGTTTGGACCTTAAATGCACACCTAAAAATGTGATTTGAAAAGTGGCCCATCTGCCATAAACCTGTGATGTCACGTAAGTC